AGTACAATGCAGTCTCTCTGCCTGCTCCTGGCGCTGGCGGCCTCTGCCGCCCTCGCGCCCGTGCCTGAGCCCGGCTTCGGACCATCCAGCCGGAGCGGTGACGCTGTTAGCCTCGTGCTGTTACTTGTAGCTTGTAGCGTCGTGCTGAGGTCGCAGGTGCAGGTGACCCCGGTGCAGAAGGTGGTCCAGCTGTTGGAGAACATGAAAGAGAAGGGCACGAAGGAGATGCAGGAGGAGGAAGTCCAATACACGAAGTTCAAGCAGTTCTGTGACATGACGCTGCGGGAGAAGGAGGCAGCCATCGATGAAGCGGCCGACAAGATCGAGACCCTCGAGGCGGACATCGAGAAGGCCGCATCGGAGGCGGAGCGCCTGGGCAAGGAGATGTCGGAGCATCAGGCGGACATCGAGGCCGCGACGGCGGAGAAGGAGAAGGCGACGGCCGTCCGTGAGAAGGGCCGAACGGACTTCCAACTGACCCTGAAGGATTACAGCGAGTCTATCGATGCCATCGCCCGTGCACTGAAGGCTTTGAAGGAGGAGGACAAGAAGACAGCCCTGCTGCAGCTGGCGGACGCCAAGCTCCTCCCGGACGAGGCACGGCAGAGTCTGCTAGACACACAGGGCCCAGCGCCGAAGACCTACGAATTCCAGTCCGGGGGCGTGATCAGCATGCTCGAGGGCCTTCAGGACAAGTTTGTTGACGAGCGCATCAGCCTGGAGAGGGAAGAGCAGAAGAAGCGCCATGCCTACGAGATGCTGGCCCAGAGCCTGGATTCGCAGCTGGCGCAGTCCAAGAAGGAGCAGGAGGAGAAGGGACAGTTCAAGGCCAAACAGCTACAGAGCAAGGCCTCATCCGAGGGCGACCTGGGTGAGACGAAGGTCGAGAAGCAGTCTGACGAGAAATACTCCACCGACCTCGCGGCCACCTGCAGCAAGAAGGCCGCGGCCTTTGCGGCGCGCCAGAAGCTGCGACAAGAGGAGATCGAGGCTATCGAGAAAGCCAAAGGCATCATCGCCGGAGAGGCAGTGGCTGGCAGTGCAG